TGTAAAACTTCGGGAAAAAATCAAATGTTCTCACGTACTACACTTTTTATTTTTGCATATCAGTACCTAAAATAATAAATAAGCTAACATTACAAAGTTGATTAGAGTAGTTTATCAATTCATATCATTCTTCATGAACCAGACTTCGTTGTTTCGGCCGATGATGACGAAGGGAGAGTCGTAGCCAACAGTGTAGTAGGTCTGGAAGTCGACGCCTTCCTCGCCGGCTGCCACCAGGTCGTCGTGAAGCTGCGCGGCGTTCACGATCCAGTCCTCGTCGTTGGCGAACCCGTGGAACCTCCTATAACAAAGTCAGCAGTTTTATTTACATCAGGGTTTGTACCAGAAATTAGTTTTCACTGTGCAAAGGAACTTGTCTTCCTATAAACTACGTGAAGGAGAAAGAAACATAAAATCCAATTTACCTGGAGAAAACGTGCAGTTCCGGTCGCTCTTCGATGTACACGTCAGGGTTGGTGGGCGTGGGCGGGTTGTCTTGGTGGGCGGCGGGGACGTAGAAGCTCATGGTGAAGTTGTTCTCACAGTTGGGTCCTTCTCCGGGGATGACCAGCGTCGTCACGGGAGCTGTCATGTCATCTTCATGGCTGTCAGGAGCGGAGAGAACTTTTTAAATTTCTGGACGTCACTCTCACCCTGCTATTTCTATTATTCTTTCTCTTGCCTTATTTAAATTTCGCACACAGTGAATGTTATGGGTGAAAATATATACATACATAATTTTATGTTTATAAATAAATATATATGTATGAAAAAGTTTACTGTGTCTCATAGAAATAAGATTAATACGGAAAATCATATGAACACCCTTGCAACATTATATTACCTGCATCATTCTGTCCGTCGATGTAGTTGAACAGCTTGCGGAACATGACGTCACTGGTGGCTTCGTGGTGAGAGATGGAGAGGTGGGATGTGGTGACCCACTTCTGCGCCGGGTACACGCGCTCCTCGTACGTCTGCGAACAGACACTTTCTTATTACTTGTTACACCAGTTGTTTTAAGGAGAACGTAATAATAATAATAATGAATTAATAAATAAATAGAAAAATAAAAAAGCAGGCAATTCTAATATGAAGAAATTCAGTAGATTAAAAAACAGGATTCGAAGAAACGACTTACCTCAGCGGAGTTAACTAGGTCATAAGGAGCGGATTCGATGGCCAGGGCGAGCTGGCACACCTGAGGACCAAGAGAACATGAAGTTCAGAAGGCATCACAGACTTCACTTTATTATATAAATCA